TACTAACACAGTAAAATATAATACAAACACAGTAAAATATAATACAAACACAATAAAATAAAAATGATAATAATAAAAAAAGAAATTATATCGAAGGAGTCGGAAGGTCCGAAGCTTCTTACAACGTACGTACATACCACATTGAATGATTGCATATTACAAAATTAATCCATTTAAACAGAGGTGGTAGTAGTAGTAATCTCAGTAATCTCAATAGATGAAGTTTCAAAATTATTGGGAACATTTTGTGATTTATGAAGAGATTCTACTAACTTGTTAATAGGATTCTCATCTGAATCATCGAGCTCTTCTATATACTGATAACCTATCTCTAAGAGATTAGGAATATTTTCAAAATCATCTAATTCTATTGGGTTTTCAAACCAGACTTGCCATCGCTGATAGCGATCTCCCAACTTAGCATGCATTTGACAATCAGTGCTATCTGATATTGCTACCTTATGATTATTATGTTGCCAAAAAAGTTTACTCCGATATAAGTTTGGCCTTAAAGTATCTGGTGTATAACATCCTGTACCCAAAGAAAGAATAGAAATCTTCTCTACTGTAACATTATTATACCGGGTAGCTTCATTATAAGCTGTTATTGTTGGATTATTAATAAGTACCCCACCATCCAAGAAAAAACCTTTATTCCTTATCTTATAAGGTGGGAAAAAAGTAGGTGAAGCTGTCGTAGCCATTAAAACATCATAAAAAGTATCATTATCTGAGATAGCATTATCGTTATAACTCATAAATAAATGTGGCTGTGCTAAGTCTTTTTCATTTACCGCAGGAACAATCAATTTGGTAAGCGCGTGACTTAACGTTGTCCCACCAAAAAGATCCTTAAATAGCTTAGAACGGCTTTTATCTGTATATTTCGGATTGAAGTAACAACCTGTATTATCAATATCGAATAATTTCCTTGATTCATTCTGGTAAACGTTCAATATATCCGAAGCTGAAAATTTTGGTTTAAAATCTGAATATCGACATGATAACTGCCAGAAAGGCATTGATAGTCCAGCGGCAGTGAAACCGCCAGTTGATGATCCAGCTATCATATTAAATAAATGAGAAATAGGTCTGTGGGTGCGATGTTCTATCTCTTTGAGCCATAAAGCAGGTAAAACTCCGCGTATGCCTCCTCCGTCAATTGATAAAATGTTATAAACGGGGCTTTCATCACTACGGGAATTTTTGAAATAATCTTCTTCATATTTTATTATTTTTTTTTCTTTTTTATAGCGATTTTTAACTAGATCTTTTTTTAGTTTCATGATTAATTCTCTCAGCTTAACAGCTAATATGTTGTTATTATCTAGTTTCAATGCTTCAGTAATGCATTCTTCAGCTTTGTCATAATTAGCTTGCTTACAGTAAGCAATGCTACAAAAGCGCCAGTAGTCCGATAATAAGGCTACGGATGGGCTTGCATAAAAAAGTTGAATAAGTTGCGTATATTTAGACAACTTTAGTAAGCATTTTGCATAACCAAAAACAGAATTTAAATTTTTATAATCAATTCCACGCGCATTCTCATAGTTCTTTCGAGCAGCTTGCCAATGACATAAGCCTTTTAATTTGTTAATTTTGTCCTCCTTTTCTGCTAGTTGCTCGTAATATGCTGCTAATTCATTATATAACCATATTTTTTCTTGGTCGGAAGATGTCTGCTGTGACTTTTCGTTTAAATATCGAAAATATTCATCATTATCTATGTCTTGAGTCGACTTTATTGCTTTTGGATAGGTTGTAAGTGATATTTCAGTTGACTCCTCAGGTAATTCCGAACCACTAATGACCCACAAGAAATCCTCCAAGACTTCTAAACGTGATTTAGCTGTGCCTACAAACTGAAAATTTTTGTTTATTGAATTTCGGATTTCTTTAATAGTTTTGATAGCTAGTTCCCTTTCTTCGTCACCAGTGTCCATTATATAAAAAATTGCAAGATTAATTCTTGCAGAATTACGCATTTCTTCTAACCTCGATTGAAAAGGCATTTGCCGAGCATCATCTTTGTTTTCTTGAGCGATATCTCTATATTCTTCAAGTGAAAAAAAGTCCCGGACTTTGCTTAAAGCGGCCAAGTGTAAGTGTTGGTAGCTTTTTCGCAATTCATGAATACGGCCATCTAACTTTACTGCCTCTTGCTCAAGTTTTTCACTCAGTACTTCATCAAAAACAATTTTTGCTAGAGCTTTCAAATCTTTTGTTGTTTGACGTTCTAATTTTATTTTTCCGCTAATCAATACCTCTCCAATTAAATTTAGTAAATAAGCAATGCCATCTGATCTAAAACCATGTTTTATAAGTGTATCTATTATATGTTTAGGAATAATAACTATCCTAAGTTCTCCGAATTCTAAAAGATTATCATCTTTTTCATATGGTTCAGAAAGTGCCTCAAAAAACTTTTGATATTCTTTTTTATCATAAGCAGCTATTGCATTAATCATGATTTTATTGAGCCTTTCACGAATTTTTGGTTCTTCTAGAATCAAAGCGCCCTTCCTCATTAGCATTCTACCTCCCCATATTCCTAAACCAAGAGTAGCTATTCCCGCAATTATTGCAAATGCTGGCAATGATATTCCAGCCCCAATTATAAGTGCTGCTTCACTAATTTCACAAACCCCACCTAAAGCCGCCAGTGCTCCTACAGATGCTCCAGAACCGATAGCCATTACTCCTAATGTCAT